TTGATTGTATTATTTTACACAAAGAAAATGATCTGGATTAATGGTTGTAGTAGAGGCAAAGAGAAGTTTAACAGAGTCAGAAAAGTTGAAGAAAGGAGAAATAAGGGAGAAAGCAAGACTCTAGACTAGCCTAGTCTAGAAGTCTAGATCCAAGGATGCCAATGGTGTACTTCCAGTCTCAGCCTGTGGTCCTTGAAAGAGCCAATGATGCATGTTCCAACTTAAGTCTGAATCTGAAGACCAGAGAAGACCAATGTTTCAATGTAAAGACAGTTAGGCAGAGAAAAGCTCTTCCCCCCTATACCTTGGCTGGCCTTTGATCATGATCCTCCCACCTATGCCTCCTGCATAGATTAATTACAGGTGTGAGGTGTGAGTCACTGCGCCTGGCCATAGAAAATCAATCTTATTTAGCCCTTCTCTCAATTCAGGCTTCCAACAGACTGGGAATGGCAACTTTCTTTACTCAGTCTACTGATTCAAATATTAATCTCATCCAGAAGTATCCTCGTGGACAAACCCAGAAATATTTACCCTAAAATTCTGGTACCTTGTGGCCCAGTCAAGCTGACACAAAATGTTCACTATTACATACTTCTGGATTGCACAGATGGTATGGACATGTTAGTGTTTAGTCTCAATTGTAAAATGAAGAGATGAACCACTTTATTTCTAAAGGTCCTCCTGATTTTAACTTTTATGTTTTAAAGCAGAATTCCAAGTTCTTAGGGTAAAAAGAAACACCATATTAAGGTACTTATAAAGTGGATTACATATGTCTTTTAAAGTAGTTGTGCCTAAGAGAAATAGTACTTACTGGAGGTACAGAGGTGGCATGGGGCCACATTTGGAAGTGTGGCAAATATGTCTAGTTTTGGGTTAAGGAAAGGAGAGTGTCAGGACAGCAACAAGTAGAGTCATTGAGTTAAACACTTCTGGCCAGAGAAGTTAGGTGCAGAGGAGACTTGAGGGTTATTAGCTTCTCAGGTTTGCATACTGTACCTCTGCTTTGCTTGCAGAGCCCTGCTCTGTGTCCTCACTCAGTGACAAGACATCCTTTGTGGCATCAATTCCTATATGTAACCCTCTCAACCTACTGTTTCACCTGCCTCATCTAGATCAGGGCTCCACTTTTCCACTCATCATGACCTATGTGTTCTTTTACCATGTTACTTGCCATACTGTGTTGACTTGACTTTTATTTCTGTCTTGTCAATCTACTGGCTGACACTTAAGAGGCAATAAACTAACATAAAATGAAGTCCCCATTTTATTACAGATTTATGATAAGTTTTTCATTATCTTTCTCCTATCACCACATGTAGCAGCTATTTTAGTTCCAGGCATTGCCCCCAAGAAATGGGGGCACTGAGATAAATAAGACATGCAAACATCTGACTCTTATGAGAAATGCATTCTAGTAAGAAAGACTAGAGAGACTAGTAGAAAAATAATGAAGTGGTTACAAGTGACTTTTTATAAATGAGACACATAAGAGATAGAGGTAATAGCATCATAAAGACCTTGAGTTAAATGTGAGAGGAGTAGAATGAGCAGAGGAAGGCAAGAACAAGAGGAGATTGGAGAGGAAAGACTGAGATTACACAGAGACAGTTGCCCCAACTTGAACACTTGGGAAGACAGGACCTGGAAGAAGAGTAAGCAGATATTGTCTTAACAGCATAAGTGAAGGAATTGTAACTGTGTTGGGATAATCTAGCAGCAGTGAGGATTGAAGAATGTGGGTTTGAGCTGTACATTAAAGATAAAAAAGAATTAGATTTCCTGGTGGACTCAGGTTATGAAGAAAAAAAAAAGAATCAAGAATGTCTTACTTAACTAACGAATTTCCCATTTACTGACTTGAGAGATTTAGAAGAAAGAGAAAAAAAAGAAACAGGTTTGAGAAAAAAAGGCGTGTCCCATTTGAATTTGAGACATGTGTAAATTATCCAAGAAAAGGTTCCATGTGGGAAACTAGGTATAGGTTTTAAGCTCAGAGGAGCTCAGAGACGTCATCTATAGATTGAATCTGTGGAATTAATGAGATTATTTAGGTAAGGTAGAGGGAAGAGCCAGGAGGGCTCAGAGATCTTTGGGTTTCTAAGGTTAGGAATTGAAGTAAAGGAGGAGGAACCATTAGAGAAAACTGAAGAGAAACAACCAGTTAGAGGGTGGTTTGGAAGCAAAAGAAGGTTCAAAGCACAGGGAGTGCTGTTGCTGAGAGGTTTAGTAAGGTGAGGTTAGAGGAGAACCTGCTGAACTTTACATAGCATGGGGGGCAGTAAGTGTTTGCCAAGAACAATGTCAGCAAGTGGTTAGGTCAGAAGTCAGATTACAGTGGATAAGAGTGAGTGAGAGTTCAGGAAACAGAGAGCATGTGTAGAGAACGCTTTAAAGAAGTTTGGTTAGGAAGGGAGAGCAGAGAAATGATCAAGTAGCTGTGTAGAGATGTGAGTCCCTGGAAAACTGTTGTTGTTATACTCTTACTGGAAATAGTGGATTATGTTTTTATGCCAATGAAGATAATCCAGGAGAGAGGGATGAGCTGGAGGTTCAGGAGAGGAAGGCTTCTGGTCCTCTAGAATATAAGAAAAGATGGAACCCAGAACTGGAGGGAGAGAGGACGAACCTTTGATGGGGTGAGGAGGGATTTTTGCCTTTTCCATTTTGTAACGGAGAGAGGAAGCAAAAGTTGAGTATGTAGTGGATTCATTTGTAAGTAAGAGAATATAGAGCTTCACATCCAATACCTTTTATCTTCTCATGGAAAAATGAAGTGAAATTATTAACTTATAATGAGTGAACAGTTATTAGATCTATACTTCTTCCCATGACAGTGAAACTGAATTTTCTTATTTCTAAGTCAATATCTATCTTATCTGCTAGTACTTTTTGAATTTTTTACTCTTATTTGGCATGGATGGATTTCTATTCCTTTGTGCTTTTTCCCTTCTGAAAGTAGTTTGTTGTGGTAGTCAGTAGTTTTTGATGAGATTCAAAAACATACTGCATCTTTTTTTTTTTTTGTAAAAATATATGTTCACATATCACACTTTTAGGGCAATAGCTGGTCACAATAGTTGAGTATATAAAGTGAAAAAAATTATAGCTTATAGAAGGACTTTTAAGAGGCTCTGAAAGTGACAGATATATGTGAAAAAGCATTTTTTTAAAAGCAATATAAAAGAAAGAACGGAGACGACTAACGGGAAGTTTTAAGTTTTCTGTGCCTTTCAATATATAACACCAATTTCCATGTTCCTAAACCTTTTAATAAAATTTACATTAATTGTCTTAGTTCATTTAGGCTGTAATATATAGACTAAGTGGTTTATGAACAATAGGATTTATTTCTCATAGTTTTAGATCCTGGGGAAATCCAAGGTCAAGGGAGATTCAGTGTCCAGAGGGCCCTGCTTTCTGGCTCATGGATGGAACTTTCTTGCTGTATCTTCAGATAGTGGATAGGGGGAACAACGCTTTAGTGCCTCTTTCATATGAGTCCTAATCCTATTAGGGATCTCAATAGAGAACAGAGTTGCTGAACTCCTGTTTAGCTTCACAAGAGTTTGCTTTGTTGCTTTCCGAAATAATTCTATCAATTTTATTTTTATTCCTGAAAATAACAAAAGCTTTGTTTCTCAAAGGCCCTATCTCTAAATACCATCACACTGAGGTTAGGTTTTCAGCATATGAATTTTCGGGGAACACACACTCAGACCATGGCAGTTGAGGCTGAGAATGGCCATACGATTACTTGACTCACACAGTGTGGGGTGAGAGCAGTAGCTACCCAAGGGACCCTGTGCTTACTTGGGTTACATTGTTTTAAATTATGAAACAAATTGTACATATCTAGAGGTGTAAATAATGCATAGAAATAGTTTATAAAGTATAATTACAATAATAAAACAAGCATTCAAGATCTTACCAGCCAACTTAAAGTGAAAATATTTCCAGCTCCTTTGAAGACTCTTGGGTGAACTTTCTTGATTATATCCCTCTCTTAGTTCCCAAGGGTAACCAGTCATGCCCTTAGCTGTCTTTCTGGTTTTATCTCACATACAGCTATCCCTAAATAATGTTACTTCATTTTGCTTATTTTAACTTTATGTTAAGGGAAATATTCATCCATGTGTTGTTTGTGTTCCCTTCATAATTACTTTTTTGAGGTTTATTCTTGGATGCACTGCAGTTTATGCTCATGGATGTATAGTGCTCCCTATACACAATTTATTGATGCATTCTTTTAATGGACAAGTGCTTAGTTTCCAGTGTTTTCCTGTTAAGAACAAGATTGCTGAAACATACTTGTATCTCCTAGAGCAAGTTATTTCAGGTTATATGCCTGGGAATAGGATTGACAAATCGTAAGTTATATTCCTGCTCAGCTTCACCAAGATATGTTTTTTCACTTTCCAAAGAGATTCTGCCAATTTAAGGTCATATTTTCATTACTGATAATACCAGAGACTTGGCAAACTGGAGGTAAAGGCATTATCTGGTAACCTCAGACAGAGGCAGACACAGTGCAAGAAATGGGTGGAGCCTCCCAGGCCTATGAAATTTTGATAGAGCATTTTCCCCTATGCTTTCTTTTCTCCCTCCCTGACTCCCATTTTCAGACAGCAAATATTTCTTGTCACTAGAATGTGTTCAGAAAGCTGCAAGGAAGCTGAGAATGCCAAAAAACCAGGAGATTCAAAGTTAGAGGCAGAAAAAAGGGGATATTTCTTGGCACACATTTTTTCTGAGAGTTTGGAATGCCCATTAAGCAACGGTAGGGAAGAAGATGACTTGCAAACATTCTGATCAAAATTCCTAGCCTCAGAGTTGAAATGCTTTTTTGTGGCCAGGAATTCTCATAGTCACAATAGGAGTGCTTATGAGAATCCCATGCTTTCTACTTTTTTGTCCTAAAGGATATGGAAATATGGATACTGTAGCCTGGAATTCTGGTGTCTTGACACTCAGGCCATTCTTGTCTCTGTTTCTAGAACTAAGGTATCTGGGAGCCTCGTACCTTCTTTCCTCTTCTTCCCTCGAAAGGACCAGCCATGAGCCATTCCCATTCTCTAATCCTCATAAGACTCCTGAAAAATAGATAATGTACCAACATTCAGAATGAGCAAACTGAGGTTCAGAGAGGTGAGTAACTTGCCCCAAATTACATAGCCTCTAGGTTATAGATTTGAGGGCCAAAACATGTCACATGTTTGTCTAATGCCATCTGTGCTCTCTCTCACAATCTATACTTTGTTTTGTCATTTATACCTATGTGACCCTGAACAAACATTTTATCATGTCTGGGCTTTATACTGTCAAATAAAAGTTCACATAGTTTTAATAAAGATTTATTAAACAATAAAAATCACGATATGGAGTTTTTACATTGTAGTAGGAGCAACAATGTGGCCTGCAAGAGTCTTTCCCCTTGATACTATTGTTGTTATTGTTCTTATATTTGTCACGAAAGTCTACTCTCACAGCTTCTGATTAAGCACACATTTCAGTTGTTCTGTCAGTTGTATGTGCCTACAATTCGGTAAGTCTTGGCTATAAAACTTGTTTTAGTATGTTGTCTCTCTGTTAGTTTACTTTCATCCAGTTTTTTCTGGCAGAGGGCATATTTCCTCTCATAATGGTCAGGATTTTTAGTGGAGGCTTCCACAAGGTATGTTGTTACCAACTCAGAACATACTCCAGCTCTGATATTTGTCTCCCAGAAGCAGCCAGGCTTGGCAGCGCAACCAGCAGGTCAATAGCCTGTTCCCCCCAGGAGGCTGCTATCACTGCCTCCCAGGCTATTTACCTCTCCAGTCACACCTCATCCTGCCAACAGGGAATTCAGAACAGAGAAGAGGCATTGTTCAAATGTGAGAAAAGCAATAAAACCAGTTGCCAATGTACTATGGCTTGGGAGGATTCATTAACACCATCTAGGATGCACCTGGAGGAGAAATTTTTCAGACCTTTCTCCTCTGCACCTTTCTCCCTGTCTCACATGCCATTATCCCCTTACCTGTTTCCCTCTCTTTTCCAGTGCTGAAGACAGAGGTGTGCTGGCTCTCCCATGGAGCTATGGTACAATGGGAATGGAAAGGCTGTGATCTGCAGAGTTGTTCCCTGTGACCCAATATACTTCACAGCTCCCCAAGCAGCAAGCTGGAACCAAAGAAAAGTCTAAGTTTTTCTGGTAACATCACGCTACATGGAAAAGCATCTTAGAGGCCTTAGGTTACAGTTTCTTTTTTACAACGGGTGGCTCTGTATCCTCTACTTTGGTAAACTGGGAGAGAAGTTCAAAGAACAATAAAGACTATGAGGATGACAATAGATAAGAGACCAGAGGTAGGTCATAGTCTAGTAGAGGGGTGGTAAACCTTTTCCTTAAAAGACTTAAAGACTTTCTGTAAAGATAGAATGCCTTGTTTTGATTTGCAATCCTTTAAAAATGTAAAGATCATTCTCAGCTTGAATCCTTACAGAACTAGGCCACATTCAGGATTCAGCCTATAGTTTGCTAACTCCAAATTCATAATCTCATTCACACTTTTGTAGGAACAAACTATCATAGGAAAAAAAAAAACCTTGAATATTCTTAATTTGGTAAGTTTTGCGAGGAAGCAATGTGCAAGCATGAATAATTAGGAAAGAATTTCTGAAAGACAAAATGAGCTAAGAAAGGGGAAACAAGGAAGGTCAGAGATTGTGATAAATTGTTGAGAGGAACCAAGGACTGGAGAAAGAGGTAGGAATATGAGATGAGGAATGAACAGCGTCTTGAATGCAGTAGAGAATCTAGGATAATGGAATAAGTATCTTAGAATTTCTCGTAAGCATAATTAGTGGTGGAATGCGCACCAGCACTGTGGATTTGCATGGGATTTGAGAAGGAATTTGCTACTATCTTGTGACTCATAACTACAGTGTCTTTTTACCATATATGGCAGACCATAGACTTTCACTTTTGTCCCTGTCACCTTCTAATTCAGTGGCTTAGTGCTTCTTCAATTTGCTTTCATGGTTTGAAAGGAAAGAAGGGAAGGGTAGAGCACTTCCTTGTTGCAGGTGGGCAAGGGTGAGTAGGGAGGACAACAGGAGTACTTATGGGAAGTTCCAGTGGACTGGGAAACACATACAATAATATGAACCATGTAACTGTAATCAAAATTGGAATCTTTTTTGTCCCCAGATAACTGATCATAAGAAAGCAACATTCAATGTGGAAAAAGAGGAAAATCTCATCATGGAGTGAGTCAATAAAATGATTTCGAGGAGAAAAGAAGGAAATGAATCTTAATCCTAAAACAAGGTTGGAAGAGATGACAGGCTAGTTTTTGCTTGAAGACATATAAAAACATAGACTTCTAAGTATTTTGAAATTTTTATATATTATAAGAAAACACCTATTCCTCCAAGAATTATGGGAGAATACTAGATTAGGAGTCAAGATATCTTGGCTTTAGAGCCTACTCTTTACTAGCCTTGTGTCTTTAGGAAAGTAATTTAGCTTATTCAAGTCTAAGTTTCCTCATCAGGAAAATGCACAGAATATGCTTTTCCTATCTCATAATGGTGTTTTTATTTATAAGTAGACATTATAAAGCTTTGTAAGCTATAAATAAATGTGATATTGACAGAGACTTTGTTATTATTTCTTTGGTGGGTTGACTTTACTTATACACAGCAGGTAACTTACTTATGCACTGTCATTTGAGGAATTTGCAAAGGGTAAGCTGCTTGTCAAATTTCTCCTAAATTAGACTATGATAAATGACTAAATCATTCACAGGGGTCCAAATTTTCTATATTCCTCATGTTAATTGAATGAGGAACATTAAGATGCTGATGTTTTTGAAGTCAGGGCTCAGCTCAACTGTGGACATCTTATCTCTTGATTAGCTGGTGACCTAGGAGTGTCCCAAAAGAATAGAACAGAATTGCCTCTACATAGGGCCCAGAGGACTTTGGGGTCACCATAAAAGCACTAATTATCAGTCATGAGAATATCTTGGAGGACCAAGATATTCCTCTATTCCCATAAAGAATAGAGGAAAAGCCTTCTGCAAATTACTTTGCAATTCTGGCTTAAGCTAGGTTATTCTGTACACATCCAAGGATTTTGGGGTATGGCAGGCACCCTGTGACTTTTTTCATTTGAATTCCTCCCCAGTGCCTAAACAAGTGGCTCCCAGAACAGTATCCTGACTAATTCTCTTAGAGCTATTGTAGCCCAGACAGCTAACTTTGCACCAACAAATTTTACTTCTCATCCAAGATTCGCAAGGCCTAGCCTCTCTTGTCTGTAGTTGAGACTGGATACCACTAGCCTAAGTAAATGTGATGTGTGTTTCTCATAGGCCAGGTGGTTAAAAAAGCAAGTGTGCAATGTGCTTTCTCCACTTTCTTTTTTCTCATCAGCTTACGGATACTGACACCAGTGACAATGCTGGCAACCAAATCTTATAGAGAATGGCTGCACGAGTAGAAGAAAACTGCATCTGAGTCACTACTTGGAACAGAACCACCAGACCAGGACCACTTATATCCAACTGAAATGTGAGCAATTATTATTATTAGTAGTAGTAGTAGTAATATTTGGTGGTTCTAGGGATTGAACTCAGGGCCTCTTTCTTGCTAGGCAAGTGCTCTACCACTTGAGTCACTGAGTCACACTCCTCATCCTTGCAGTTTGTTTTTCAGATAGAGTCTCACACTTTCGCCTGGTCTGGCCTTAAACTTCAGTCCTATCTCTGCCTCTTCAGATTATAGGCATGTGCCACCACACCCATCCAACACATTCTCTCTCTCTCTCTTAAATTTTACGTTACAAGTTTTTATTTTTTTTTTCAGTTTTCTGGAATAGCAGTAAGTGTCACTTGGGTTGACACTTGGGTTGATCTGCTAGCTTTTTTTGGTTTTGAGTCATAGGCCTTTTCCTTTACCTTGTTTCCCACATTCTTTCTGCTCTCCCTGAAGTCATGTCTTCAAGTGAATACTAAAATCAAAAAATATCAACAAGAATAGAGGAGTAATGACTGCTTCATTAAATCTTTTTTTTTTTCCCGCTGCTTGATTTAACTTCATGGTAGTAACTCAAGAGCTTGGTGGAAGTTGAGGGCAGATGTTTGTAGGCACTTGGCTTAAATCCCTGTTCTTGATATGAAAAATATATAAATAGTAAAGGCTGTAAGTTTTAATGATATGATCTTAAATTGAGAGCCAAGAAGAGGAGCGCTTTCTCACTCCTTTTCTTCCTCCAAATTTGTTTTGTTTTCATTTCTTGCTTTCCAATTGGCAGAGTGCCCATGGAGTGTGGGATCTGTTAGTGGAGCACCATGCAGTCATTACCTGGCTTATAAAACTGGTACAGAAAGCTCAGAGAATTGTTTCTACCTAAAGCCATGCAATGTGCTTGGAGTCCATGTTTAGATGCTCAGGAGGGAAAACTGAAAGCACTGATGTTGAAGGAGGGTGAAGTTACATATACAAAGTAAGTAAACATCAAAAATCTAGAAAACAATAACAAAAAGTAAGTCCTCACAAAAGCACAGCAAACTGGTCTCTGAGTTCTCATAATTCCCCATTTCTATAGATTGTATTCCCAAGTACACTCACAATATCATCAAGTAAAGCTTTTACTTAAAATAGCTGCAGCTGTGTGTGTGTATTATTTGAGAGCAGTATTGGGTGAGACTATATTTTCTTATAAGACTATTACTCCACATCACTTAGGGATTAAGTGGTTTAACTGGAATTGGAAACACGGTTTGAGGAATCCCTTTGTAGTTTCTGTCAGCAGCTTATTCAGGCAATTCAGAATCGCACTTGTCTTGAATAAGCTTTTAACTTTCCACAGCCAAATACTAGCTTTTGAGAGGACAGCCATCTATAATGTGCTAAGTTCAGGATGAGAATCTCTGGGTTTGAATCCTGACTATATCATTCACTATGTCTAAGATTTTGGCTTAGTTGCATGACTTCTCTCTGATTCTATTTTTCCATTGGTAAAATCGGAATAATAATGAGATCTACCACACACAGTTGCAAAAGGAATTATGTGAACTACTGGAAGTAAATCATTAGACACCAATTGCTAAAAAGGAAGGAATCTGTTGTTTCTTGTGCTGCTTTCTGTCGTGAGGTGCATGCATCTTCTCCACAGGAACACAGTGATCATGCCCTCAAGCCCTTTGAAGGTACTGTGTTGGGCTCCTGCAGCCTTCTCTGAGCATCCTGACAGTGCTTGATATGCTGTAACCAGCCTTTTCCTCCCCATAGTTATAGCCTTTTTTCCCAGAGCTCTTTTTCCTTCACCTTTTCTCTGGGATTCTTCTACTGTGCTAGAAATCATGTGGGAGAGGCCCTATGACAATGCTATGCATGCTAATCCAATCTTTTATATCCAGTTCAATAGTTATAATGAAGAAAGTGGGTATACTTTTAGATTTTTGCTTAATGTTTTTCACAAACAGCTCTGTGGTAGGAGAGGACAGTTTAGTTTAGTAGCAAAAGACAGAACAATAACAGGCAATCAGAAAGGGCAGGAGAGCAAGCTATTCTAAAATCCAGTGTAAGACAAATTGGATGAATATTGCCTCCCAACGAAAAGCTATAAAAATTAACCAAGTTGCATAGCTAATATAAATAACTTATGACTATAGTAAAAAGAATTATTCCAAGTGTCTCTTGCACATAGGACTCTGACCATATATCTTTTGGAGGTATGTTTTCTAAGAACAAAAAGCACTCAAGGAAATCTTAAACTTCACTCAGTAGTTTTATTGTTGATATTTTAATTTTAAGTTAGTTTATGTGTTGTCTATAATAAAGCAAATAAGTGGAAAGACTACTGTTAAGATTCAAGGTCTTAATATATGACAAATATAGAAACCAAGAAGTGAAGTGGGAATCCTATAATATCAAATATAAGTTGGAAATGTCAGTATGAACATAAAATTATATATAATCTACATATAATCTATATAAAATACATCCTGCATGATAAGCAATATATCTGTAATTTATCTATAAATAGTTTATAATTCTCTGTGTTTATGTGGGTAGAAAAATAAAAGGACAGGAAAAAATACATATATAGAAAGAGATGAAGATACATACTCTGTCCAATGAAAGAGCTTGGAAACTATTGTGTTCCAGAAGCATTGAGTACACTTGACATTCAGGTGTTATTTTCTAAAATTCCATTATTACTAAAAGGAGCCAGGGCTTCTTACAGAAATGGCTAATTAGAGGTTTGAGGTAGGGAAAGTTTAGGGTGAGCTTAACATTATTTATTGCATCAGAAAATTGTATCAAGGAAACGCCAGAGACTAATTAGAGTCTTGTTAAAAGGATCCAACATGAAGAGACTCTCACTGGTCAACTTTGAGATAATATGAACATCAAAAAGAGTAATGTTTCTGATTGATTATATCAATAAAATGTATGAGTGCATAAAGACACTTGAAAAAGAAAAGAAAAAAGACAGAAGAAATATAAGAGTATTTGACATAGTGGAGGTTATTACATGCTAACTCCTTACTCTGAAAATGAGGAATTAAAATGGAATGATGAAATATTGCATGTTTGTATTTGTCAGGATGGTAGTCTATGCTGTAGTAACAAATTACAGAAAGTAATTTAAAATATTGCTGGTCACTGTGGAAAGGAAGGTTCTAGAAAACATGCCACATGTCTACTCATGTTTCATGGGTCCAAGTTTTATGGTCATGTTCAAATTTAGGAAGCTATTGTTTCCTCTGCTCTTCTCTAGGAACAGAAGTAATCGTCCCTTTACTGATTTTGGGATTTGTTTTGTCTGATGCAATGTAGGTGGAAGTGACAGCATGTTGGCCCCAAGCAGAAATTTTAAGAGGCATTTCATACTTTCACACTCTCTTTTGCATTCATTCCATCCAGTAAAAGAAGAGCAGACCCCTGGGTGCTGTTGCTTCTTTGTATTCAGAGTTCTTATTTGAGAGACATGTGGTGTCTGACACAGAGTCAAGCAGAGTCAGAAAAATCACAGACCTGTGAGCAAGAAATGCTTGCTATTCAAAGACACTAAGATTTGAGATTGTTATTAAAGCAAAAGCTGATCAACACACCTATCATATATTCAGAAGGAAACAGAATAAGATAAAGCAAGAATATTGGTGAATAGCACAAACTACTATCATATTTCTTTTATTTGCCCATTAAAAATTTAATTGATAGACTGGGCATAGTGATACATTTTTGTAATCCCAGATATTTGGGAGATAAAGGTAAGAGGATTGTGGTCTGAGGCCAGTTATGGCAAGGCAGCCTGTCTGAAAAATAAAACTAAAGCAAGAAGGGCTGGAGTACATCAAATGGTTTCAAACATCGGTACAGTAAAAAAAATTAATTGACATATACTATTTGTGCACATTATGGAGTACAGTTTGATAATTTGATACATGTGTATAATGTGTGATGATAAATCAGGGTAATTAGCATTTCCATCTTAAACATTTATCATTTCTACACATTGTCTTTTAAAGAGAGCTATTGTGAATATCTCAGAAGAGTCCCAGCTTAAAAAATGTAGAAGAGATGATACCACTATAAATCATGAATTTTGTTATCCTGAAATAATTGATTGCAGTGAGAATTAACAATGAATTTTAGAATCATTAGGTGAAATGTTGTTTTGAAATAGAATAAATATTAGAACGAGGTCTGAGTATCAACCTTCATATTATTTGCCCTACCAAGCATGATGTGTCCTTTGAAATAACAGAGCTGCAATCCTCAAACTGTGCTGTGTGATAGTGGATGGCTTGACATTGTGTTCTTGGTAATGTAATGTGGTATGAAGTAATAGCACTGCTTTACTACTTACTTTAGGAAAGGTAGTACCTTACTTAATACATTTCATTTGTGTTAAATTATATATGTAGACATATAGAATTTATATGTGTATATATATACACACACAGGTTGTATTAAACAATGTCATGAAAAACAACAAATCAGGAATCTGGTAATTTATAAAGCTGCTGTTCATGACTCTTTATAATGCTCCTTGTAGGTATAGAAAATTTGTGTGGTTTGTTGTGTTCTGGCTTAAAATTATCAAAAGATAGAAAATAAGTGCAGTACATGAGCTTGATTGGATCTACTTTGACAAGCTAAGCAGAAGAGTATTTGTTACTCAATTTGAGAAACTTGAGTATGACCTAGACATTAGATGATATCACAGTGTTTTTCATACTTATATAATGAAGGTATTCAAGGTCTATGAAATATCATTCTTAGTTTAGGAAATGTATGCTGACATATTTAGTGCTACATATCATGATATCTAACTCAGTTTCAAGTAGTTCATTAATAAATTTATAGAGACTCAAACACAATATTTGCAAGTATGACAAAATGTTACCATTTCATGACTCTAATCAGTGGGTATATAAATGTTCACTTTTTTATCCCTTCACATTTAAAATTGAAATTTTTCACAATAAAAAGTTGGAAAGCAAGTCGTGTGTGGGATGGAGGTGAGGTTGTGTGTATGAAATCCAAACGTGTACTCAAAATGTCATCCTGATCCAGAAGTCTAGCAGGATGAACATGGTTTCAATTTGTTTCCCTTTCCTTCGTCTGAGCTATTTTACTTCAGGGGTCTGGGCCTGAATGTTTATTCTTGACCTTCTACCTCCTTCATATTTTTTCTGTGAACAAAGAACCATCTGTTCATTTAGAGAAGGAGATCAATAATCACACTTTACTTGACTTTGTGGACACCTGGAGAAAACATCTATAACCTAGTTACTTCTTAGTTTGGAAAAAAAATCATTGTCTATACCAAATGCATTTGTTGAACTTGACAAGTTATTATTTTTCCTAGATTCCCACCTCTTTAATCTTAGGAGGAAGTGTTTCTCTTCTTCCCTAAGGTTATTTTCATGTTTGCTCTAGAGTTCATCCTTTTTCAATGCCTCCAGGGTCTTGATTTGATCTTTTATTGGCCTCACTCTTTTTGTAATTTTTGTTGGCTTTTGGCCTCAACCTAATGTTATACACACACTCTGCCTTGCATGTTTGTGCACATACATATATCACATATAAATAATTTTGTCTTCTACCACATATGCAGGCTCCCAAGATGTGCTGACCCACCCCTGTTCTTCCCTTGACAGCTAAATTTCTGTTAACTGCAGTCCATATAAGCTCTTGCTATTTTCTGTCCACTCAACTCATGATTCTCATTCATTTGTAAAACAACTCTCACTAAAGTCACAAAAACAGCAACTTGAAAGTCAAATCCAAATTTCTATTTTCTCTATTCATCTGTCCCCTTGCTGCAATTTAAAAAAAAACATATTCAATACCTCTTCCTTTTAAAAATTTCTCCCTGAAGCATCCAGGGTACCTCATTATAGTTTTAGAAGAATACCCAATGCCTGTGACCAT